CCCGAAATGTCCCCAAAACTTCAATCCCCGGGTGGGCGGGGCCTGAGCGAGGGGGCGGGGCCTTGGACAGGGGTGGCTTTGGGGACATTGGGGGTGGCTTTGGGGACATTTGGGTGTCTCTGGTGACACTGGGGGTGTCCCCGGTGCCATTGGGGTGTCCCCGGTGCCATTGGGGTGTCTCTGGGGACACTGGGGGTGTCCCCGGTGCCATGGGGGTGTCCCTGGTGACACTGGGGGTGTCCCTGGTGCTATTGGGGGTGTCCCTGGTGACACTGGGGTGACCCTGGTGACACTGCGGGTGTCGCTGGTGACACTGGAGGTGTCCCCAGTGCCATCGGGGGTGGCTTTGGGGGCCATTGGGGTGTCCCTGGTGACATTGGGGTGTCCCTGGTGCCACCGGGGTGTCGCTGTCGCCCCCAGCTGGTGGTACCCGAGTATTGCATCCACGGCCTGTTCTGCCTCATGTTCCTGTGCGCGGCCGAGTGGGTGACGCTGGGGCTGAACCTGCCCCTGCTGCTCTACCACCTCTGGAGGTACCGGGGGTCCTGGGGGGTCCTGGGAGGTCCTGGGGGGTCCTGGGGGGTCTGGGGCTGAACCTGCCCCTGCTGCTCTACCACCTCTGGAGGTACCGGGGGGGTCCTGGGATGTCCCCAGTTTGTCCCCGATGTCCCTGCTGTCCCCCCACTGTCCTGCTGTTGTCCCCAGTGTCCCCTCTGATGTCCCCCTGCTGTCCCCTCTGATGTCCCCAGCAATGTCCCCTCGCTGTCCCCAGTGATGTCCCCTCGCTGTCCCTGCTGTCCCCACTGATGTCCCCACTGTCACACACTGTCCCCAGCACTGTCCTTGCTGTCCCCTGATGTCCCCCCCGCTGTCCCCTGATGTCCCCCCCTGATGTCCCCTGATGTCCCCGCTGTCCCCAGGTATTTCCACCGCCCGGCCGATGGCTCCGAGGGCCTTTTTGACGCCGTGTCCATCATGGACGCCGACATCCTGGGCTACTGCCAGAAGGAGGCCTGGTGCAAACTCGCCTTTTACCTCCTGTCCTTCTTCTACTACCTGTACAGGTGAGCGGGGCTGGGGGGACTGGGAGGGACTGGGAGGGACTGGGAGGGACTGGGAGGGACT